ACATTTCATAGTTTACCTCTAAGCATATCTTTAAGGTTGTAGTGTTCCCAAGTGCTGTTTTCAGTACAATTGATCAGCTAATATGACTCTGCCTTGAAAAAGGAAAATATGTTGTCTCAGCAATAGGATTGCTGCTATAGTATATAAGAGAGAAAGAAAATTCATCATAATTAACAAAACTATTACTTATTATTCAATAAATTGGAGGATGCATTTTAAGAGAAAAGATAATTTACTTTCACACAGTGTTTTCAAGCACAAATCACAATGTTAGGTTATCAGGCTGCTGTTAGCACGGTCACTGCTACTGTTAGATAGCTCTACAACGTTAATTCCAGTTTCTTTGCTTTGCTTTTCTCTCTACCTAAAACCCTCTGAGAAGTCTGTTTATCATTATACTGGGGAAAAAAGGCTGAGTACAAGCCAGAAAGGATACTTCCTGCCTGTCCTCCCCACTTTGACCATGCATGGTAACTGACATGGTTCTGTTCCCTTTAAATATAGACTGAAGAAAGCGCCACCGGAACCACCTGATCACTAGAAGATATGGTGGTGAGAACAGTGGATGAAGAGACATGGGAAGGGCTTTGTAGCTCAACTGTATCACAGTAAGCCTCCTCTTCCTCCTCCTCCTCTTCCTCCTCCTTTCTCATATGATTCTTAACAGCCTTAAACAAGACATAGAACAGCTCAATGACATTCAAGACAAAAGACACCACTGACACCACCAACATGAAGAGGATGAAGATGTTTTTTTCTGTGGGTCGAGAGAGGAAGCAGTCCACCTGATGTGGGCAAGGAGATTGATCACAGATGTAAACGGCACTCAGAGTAAATCCATAAATGTACCACTGGATCAGGAGGAAGGTCACCTCGAAGACAGACTTGAAGAAGATGCTGGCCATGTAGGTAAGCAGAAATCTGCCTCTCATTTTCACCTTGCTACGTTCTTTACTCCCACACTTGAACTCCTTTCCTGCCATTTGCTGCATGTGCCTTTCCACGCTGGCCCCATTAAAATGAGCAACTTCAAGTTCCTCCTCGTGCTTGTTCATACTCTTATTCCGTCGAATCACATAGTACACATGTGCCAGGTATAAGAGTGTAGGCACAGATACGAATATGACCTGCAGGACCCAGAGGCGCACGTGAGAGATTGGGAAGGCTTGGTCATAGCAGACATTTTCACAGCCAGGCTGCTGAGTGTTGCAATGGAACTCAAACTGCTCGTCACTCCAGGCTGACTTGATGGCAGTGCCCAGGAGCAGGATGCGGAAAATGAAAAGGACCTTGATCCATACCTTTCCTCCAGCTGTGGAGTAGGGTTGAACCTTTTCTAGGAGCTGGTGTAAGGCACTCCAATCACTCATGTTGCCTGTTCGTTGTTCTTGCACTTAAAAGGTGGGCACACCAAGCGAGTGCACGCCTTGGAGGATGAAGTGAAATAAGACAGTAAGTTCAGGAGTGACACCTGCCTAAAGTTTAAAAGCCTACTACTGTTTGGTACCTTCGCTACTCTCCCTAATAAAAGGAAAGTGCTAATACCAGGTAAAAGCTTATGTGAATTCATTTTCATAAATGGTAAGTGCTCCTACACCAGAACATATGTGTACCTATAATGAAACAAGTTACATAAATGGAAAAACAGATAAATTTAAAAGTCTCTTTCTCAGTGTAATACAATCGCCAAAAATAATGAGTCAACTGTTTGGCATATTAACAAGTCATACTCATACACTGATTGATGCAACTGCAGAAGTTGGGCCAACATTTCCCAAAGAGACAGTGATATTCATTCATCCATTATTTATTCTGTGTCTACTAGGAGAAATATACTACAATAGGCATGGGCTCTTACAGGTGAGTAAAACAGAATATACTTGTGGAACTTGAAATCAACTGGGAAAAAAACCAGATCATTTCAAATATGGTGTTTTGCTGGTACATGCCAGTAATCTCAAGCCCTTAGAAGGCTGAAGGAGAAGGCTCACTGAGAGTTCTAGGCCAGCCTGGGTTACTTATTTAGTTATCCTGAGCTACAGAGTGAGATCTTGTCTTTAAAAACTACAGCATTTTATTAAATCAAAGATATAGTTGATTTTTAAAAGATAAATCATTTTTCAATTCTGAAAGAAATCAAGAAATCCAGAATAGGACACATCCTACATCTTAATTTCGAAAGTGTGTGTGTGTTATATAATTAAAGGAAGGCTCAGTGAACAAGTAAATACGCAATAATTACACATGTAAGTAAATGCTGAGAAGATAACAACCAGCAGGCACTGACAGAGAATAAGGTAAGAAAACCCCAGCCAGACTGATTAGAGATAGCCACACAAGAAGCAAGAAAATTATTGCTTGATGAGAGAAAGAGCAAACAAATTAAAGGTAAAGAAGTCTCTGTATTCAAAGCATTAATAGGCAGGAAGTGTAAAGGTTGACACAGTGGGCAGTATAAGAGGTGAAGGTCACAGAAGAGCTATGTTAAACACCATTTAGAGAAGCCCTGGGTGCAGAAACAAAGATTACACCGTGAAACTAGGACAAGACTGAGGCATTGGAAGACATTACAAATGATTATCTGAGGCTTCACAGAGTGAGTGGGAGGCCTGACAGGACAGGATTAGAGCAGGGACAAATAGATCAGGAAGAGGATGGGAACTCTGTGCTAATGGATAGCAAGCAAGTTTTGATGGAAACTAAATGTGAAGAGGCTATCAAGAGTGATGAGGACCTGGAGAGATGGCCCAGCAGTTAAGAGGAAATAATTAGGATACACGAAGGGCTTACGATGAAAACATTTTCAGAGGAGCATTGCTACCATCTCCTAGTCTACTGAGTGTGGGTGGAAGCTCCTATGATGCAAAATGTGAGCCAAACAGTTCTGAACACCTGCTAGTCTTCATCCATTTTCCTTCCAAGAGCCTCTATTTTCTTTCTGACAAAGTCATCAAAGCAAAAGCAGAATGAAGGGCTTTCTGCCTCTAATTCAGAGCATAACAAATGTGTCTCACCATGAATGGATCACTGATAATTTTTATAGAACAAACAACTAATATTTTTAATTAAATATTTTCAATGCAGCAAATCATTTATAAAGTAATTTTCATCTGTTGAGTTAAAATCATATTCATCATATTTAATATTTGAATTCGCCTTCTTCAAAAAACATTTTCCCAAACATACTCATTGGAAATAATGAGGTATAATAAAACAGAAAAATAATATTTATTAACACAAACATAGTAAGAGTTTGCCAATTAATAATCAATTTTAAACATCTAAAAACTAATTTGTTTCTTCATTTTAATGGTCAATCCTTACAGTACTTTCTGTGAGAAAAACAATTTAAAATGAACCCTACAAAAAGGGCAAGGTTAACAAAATTTACAATGTGTCAATCACCTGAGAGAGTTTGCAACTCTTATCCAAGGGTAAGAGAACAGAAGCTTCCTCCAAATTAAAATTTTTAGCAAGTTATCAAATTACAAGTCTTCAAAGTACACAGAGTACTTTCTCAGCTAGATAAATAACACATTTTAGATGAACTGTCCTCTGTCGCACAGATTATAAAAGTAGTCCTATTAAGCGAAAGTCACCAAGATCTAGAGTTTATAATTAGTTCCTTCCTCAAGGCTAATTGAGAACAAGTCACTGGCAGTATAAGACTTCCACTTTTATTCTCATTCATTTTTCATGTTCCAAAGAGCTTCATCTCTAGACATTTGAAAGTGCCTTAGAAACTGAGATTTTTTTTTTTGCAAAAACAAATAAGGTGACATAGTAAAGAAAATCCCCAGAACTACTTTAGTGAAGTCTATAAAAAGTGGCTGACAAGTCAAAAAACCAATGCTGGGAATCAAGAGTCACAATATTTTTAGTTAATTTGGGATATAGTTCTTAGCAATCTTCGAGAACTAGATAAAGTTCTTAAGGTTTTCAATTTTTTTTTGTTCTGAAAAAGTTCTTACTAAACATATGAAAATAGACATCTAAGATTCAAAAGGATGGAAATAACTGAGAATGAGTCATCTTTGCTAAGCAAATGGTTCACAGGAAAGTTTAAAACCCTCTTGCAGAACATTATTTTTAAACTGGACAAGATCTTTCTAATTTTAAAATATAAACGTAGGACTTCCAGTTTGAGCTCCAACACATGCGGAGCTTAGACCTCATCATTCCTGTCATCACAGCAAGAGAGACCCTAATGACTTTCAAGTCAGCAAGTCTGCTCCAACCTGCCAGAGAAGCGAGGAAACAAAGCAAGAGAGTCTGCTATCTCTAGATGGATAGAATCATGGAATCACACTTACCTGAGGCAGAAGGCACTAGAGTAAAATATTAGTAATGAAAATAAATCTGCCAAGTCCTAAGAGAGACCAGCTTGTAGAATGAGCGCTCCAAGGAGAAGAGACCCTCCCACTCTCGAAGCTTCGCCTCTGGGAATCTGAAATCTCCTCCCCTTTGTAGGAGAGGAAAAGTAACCATTCTGAAATATCCCCAAGATGTAAGAGCCAATAAGAATCTCTTCCTTGCTGGGCGTGGTGGTGCTTGCCTTTAATGCCAGCATTTGAGACATAGATACAGGTTGAAGCCAGACTGGTCAGGGGAAGTTCCAGAACACCCAGAACTACACAGAGACCCTGTCTCAAAATAAAACAACAGAAACAAAAACAAACAATAAAAAAGTTCTTCAGGGATGAAGAATGTAAATACTTTTGAAGCACAAAAGTATAATTTTCAAATAAACTCATTCTTGTAACCCAGGCCCTCCCATACTTGGAATCTCCTGCCTCAGTCTCCCAAATAGCTAGGATTACAAGTCTACATCATCTGGCCCAGTTCAAATAAGTTCAGAATGTTCGTCAATAACAAAAGCTAACACTCTCAAACAAAATGGATCAGAAGCTTATATATTCTGGAAGAAGGGGAATTAATTAGCCCCAGTCCAAGTTGTTATTCCCATTTCACTTAAGAAAAGGAGAAGAAAGGGGGCCGTTCGGAGTGGACGTAGCGGTTGCCGCCTCTAAAGAGAAGAATTACCACACTTATGGCAGGGGTTCTGCGCTCAGTATTTCAGAGGCCTCCAGGCAGATTACAGACTGTGAAGAAAGGTGCAGAATCTCTCATTGGTTCAGAATGGATACGTCACAAATTTACCAGATCAAGAATTCCAGATAAAGTGTTTCAGCCTAAACCTGAAGATCATGAAAAATATGGTGGGGACCCCCAGAACCCTCATAAACTGCACATTGTTACAAGAATAAAAAGTACAAAGAGGTGTCCATACTGGGAAAAAGATACGATCAAGATGCTTGGCCTACAGAAGGCACACAGCCCTCAGATTCACAAGAACATCCCGTCGGTGAATGCAAAGCTGAAAGTGGTGAAACACTTGATACGCATCCAGCCCCTGAAGCTGCCACAGGGACTTCCCACAGAAGAGACCATGTCCAGCACGTGCCTCAAGAGCACTGGGGAGTTGGTCTTGCAGTGGCATCTGAAGCCTGTGGAGCAGGAAGCAAAGTCCTAATGCCACACAGCTTCAGCTTACAGACACACTTACTGAGGAAACTATTCTTATTAAAGTGAATGTTAATCCAGTAAAAAAAAAAAAAGAAAAAAAAAAGAAAAGGAGAAGAAAGACAGGGTAGTGTTAAAAAAGTTTAGGAAGGATACAGCTGAGGACTTGTGCCCAGTTGAATCCCTAGGTGACAAAACACTTTCCCATTTCACTCTTTCCCACCATTTCACCAGGGTTTTAGTATAGAACAGTGGATCACCACTGAAAAGTGATGCAGGCAAGACAGTCTCTAATAGTCTCAGGGAAAGGAAGGGACCAAAAAGCAGAAAACAAATAAACAATAAACACAAAAGCAGTGGTTCTCAACCTGTGGGCCAAGACCCCTCTGGGGTTGCATATGAGATGTTTACATTACAGTTCACAAGAGTAGCACAATTAGTTATGAAATAGCAATGAAAACAATAATAATTTTATGCTGGGGTGGTCACCACAACATAAGGAACTGTATTAAAGGGTTGCAGCGTTAAAAAAGGTGCAAATCACTGCATTAGATGAAACTGAAGGTAGTAACTTCTAACATTAGAAATGGGCCAGTGAGGTGACGTAGCTTAGCATGTAAGGGTACTTGCTTGCCAACCCCAAGAACCTGAGTTAAATTCCCAGAAGTCACATTGTGGCAGAAAAGAACTAATCTCTGACCTGCATGTGTGCAGCCACACACTTGCATGCATGCACACAAACTGAATGAACGAATGGAAAATGTTGAACGGCTCAGTTCCTGGTTGAGGAACATAAAACCCTTACTAAAGGCCTACTTTTACAGTTAGTATTACCCAATATACCACAACCAGTGTGCACACACACTCAATATAAGGCACACACAAAAGGGCAAGAAAATTATCTAAATAGACAAAGGAAGTATCAAAACCAGATGAAGATATGGCACAGACTTGAGAACTGTCACATAAGGAATTTAAAATACCTAGGAATAAACCAAACAGTATGGTTCTTGCCTATAATCCTAGCACTCAGAGGGTGATGCAGGAGGACCACTAGTTTAAAGCCAACCAAAGCTACATAGTAAGACACTACGTCAAACAAAACCAAAATTATGATTAAGATATTAAGAACTCAAAGTATGCCTTTAATCCCAACACTCAAGGGGGAAAGATATGCAGATGGATCTCTGGCCAGTAAGACCCTATAACTCAAAAAGAGAAAAAAATGTAAGAAAGAAAGGGAGGGGGGAGAAATCAACTTTCCCACACTCCTACAACTATCCAAAAAGCTTAGAACAACAAGAAAAGGCTTGTTGAAAGAGCAGGTTGTGATAAGAAAGCACTGAGCTGCCACCTCCCGCACCTCCCAGCAGAGCTCACAAAGAGAAGAGAAACAGAACATAACTTCCTTAGCCTGATAAAAGGCTCCTCTCCCCGATTTCTTTCTTTGCTTTGTTTCTTTGTTTTCTTTTCTTCCCTTTTTTTTAAAAAGAAGAAGCTTGCTATGTTGCTCAGGTTGGTCTAAAACTCAAAAGATTGGCCTACAGAGTAGAAGGGTCTTGAGTAAACTGGACTACAAGTACTTCCCAACATTCCTGCTTTAAGGATATTTTTGAACACCGTAGCTAACATGTACTGGAAAGGTAATGGTAACTGAAAGCCTTCCTCTAAACAGCAGGAACAAGATAAGACCACCTATTTTAGTCACTTCAACAACATTAACGTTATAGCTACATCAATTAGGCTAGACAAAGCAATAAAGAATGTCTCATGTGGAAATGAAAAAGGCAAAGTATCTATTTCCAAAGGTGGAAATCCTAAAGAATCTTACCCCCTTAAAAAAACACCTCAATCTGCTGGAACTAATAAAGTTTTAAAAAGTGCAGAAAATAAGATCAAAATGCAAAATTCAGTAAGCCTCAAAGTATTAAACATGTACTTACCATATGACCCAAAATTTCTGCTACTAGGTATACTCGGTTCCCAAGTACTGAGAACACAAGTACTTGGATCCTTGTGTATATCAGCACTCATAATAGCCAAAGATGGAAATAATTTTCTATCGGCAGATAAATGGATTGGAATATGCAAGGCATACATCATACATATACAAATGAACACTACAAGAATGAAGTTCTCGTATGTATAACATGGATGAACCCTGAAAACATTATTTAAATGGAAGAAGCCAGACACAAAAGGACAAATATTGTACTATTCCAGCAACACAAACTATCTCTAATAGGTAAACATCACAGAAAAGGAAAAAAAGCCTAGAGTTACTAAGTACTGGGATGGAGTAGGGAAACTTTGTGAGATAGTGGTTACTTAAGTTCCAAGCTTCTATTTAGGCTAATGAAAAAACAAAAACAGATGGTAGTAGTTTTCATATTACTATGAACACATATTACTGAACTGTAAAACTTTCGCCACAGCTAAAAATAAACAGGAATACTGCTCTATACTACAAACAAACAATCTTAAAAGGAAATTAAGAGATCAATTTCAGTTATAAAAGCATGAAAATAAATAAGCAAAGAAATGAATAAAATATTTGGAGATTAAATTTCTATGCAACCCTGATCAAAATTCCAATGGTTTCCCTACCTCCGAGAATGGAAAAGCTGACCCTAAAATTCATATTGTAGAACAAGGTACTTCAATATATAAAAGAGCCTTGAAATGAAAAGACTTGGAGGACTTAGACTTCTTGATTTGCAATTTCATTACACAATTGTAATAATCAAGACAACTGGTATTTGTATGAAGACAGGAACAAAGCCCAGTAGACAAAAATTAATGGTATGTAATTCTCCACAACAATGGCCAAGTGATTTTCAACGAAGTTGCCACTACATATAAATGCAAGAAAGAACTGTCTGTTCAATAAAAGGTGCCAGTTCAACTGGATATGCATATGCAAAGTTATGAAAATAAGATAAAAGCTAGATGTCGTGGCTCATGACTGTAATCCTAACACTTGGGATGCAGAAGCAGGATGATCAGAAGTTCAAGGTCATCCTTAGCCACAAATTGAGTTAGAGACTATTTGAGACACAGTTTAAAAAAAAACAAAAGCAGGGGCTGGGGGCTTTGCTCTATGAGTAAACTGCATGCCATGGAAACATACAGACAGGAGTTTAGATTCTCAACATCCATATAAAAAGCCACGCACAGCTGCACAAATCTGTAACACTAGTGCGTATGAACATGTACAAGGGAAATGGGACATCCCTGAAGTTTACTACCCAGCCCGGACAAGTGATGTGTACCAGGTTCAATAAGATACAATGTCTGAAATAAGGCAGAACCAGGCACAGGGTACATACCTTTAATCTCAGAACTAAGGAGGCAGTGACAGGTAGATAGCTGTAAGTTCTAGGGTAGCCTGATCTACAGAATAAGTTCCAGGAAAGCCAGGGCTACATAGTGCAACCCTGCCTCACAAACAAAAATGGTAGATATTGATAGAAGACACCTGCCTTCCACTGGCACATGCACACAGAAATATAAAAGTACATATGTTACACACACACACACACACACACACACACACACACACACACGGACCAGAGGGATGGCTCAGTATTTAAGGGCACTAGCAGAGCTCTTCCAGAGGTCCAGAATTGGAGTCCCAGGACCCACATGGTAGCTTACAACAATCTGTATCTCTTGTTCCAGAGGATCCAACACCCACTTCAGGCCTCTGTGGGGACTGCATGTATGAAATGCAATGATTAATTAAATGCATTAAATTAATTAATTAATTAGTTAAAAATGAAAAGGTTGAACCTCTGTATCATACTATAGGAAAATCATATGAACATCAACTCAAAATAGATCAGGGGCCCAAGAAATATAATAACCAAAATTATACTAGTATTCTATTAAATATAGATAAGTACATTTAAACTTTCACATCCTTGGATTTCAGTGTCTTTTAAAAGCAAACATATAAAGGACAAGTAAATAATATATCATCAAAATTAAAAGCTTTTGTGCATCAACAACATTAACAAGAATATGAAAGAATGAGAGAAAATACTTGCAAACCACATACCTGATGAGAAACTTGTTCTCAAACTAGCCAATAAAACTCAATTTTAAAATGGGTAAAAGAATTGAATAGACAATTCCCTAAATAAAATATACAAATGGCTGGACAACTGGCTCAGTGGTTAAAAGCATTTGTTGTACAATCATAAGGACTAGAGTTCAGATCACTACAACCATGTACCTAACAGGCATCCCTACAACCAAGTAACAAACAGGCATACAGCACTCCAGCTCTGAGGGAGAGTGAAACAGCAGGTGCTTGGTGACTTCCAGCCTAGCTAGGACACAAACGTCAAGTTCAACAGGGGATCCTGCCTCAAAGAAACAGATGGAAAATGATTAAAGAGGATGCCTAATGCCTTCTTCAGGCTTCCATGTGTCTATAAGCATGAACACCTGCATGTGCACATATATGCATACATTCACACACAAATAAATCAACAGTCTTTTTTAAAGAAAATAAAGCTATACGAATGGACAATAATGGCCAATTGGCCATTTGAAAAAATGTTCCAACATTACCAACCATAGGGACATGTAAATCAAAACAACAATGAGGTACAACTTTACATCCACTGAGATAGCTACAATGTTTCAAAAGGAAAATAAAAATATGGAAAAACTGGAGCCTGAGTACATTGCTGGTGGGAGTATAGAGTGGTGCTGCTGCTATGGAGACCAGTTAAACATAGAATTTCCATATGATAGTCTCTCTATGCTCGTTATGTATCCTACAGAACTGAAAACAGAACTCCAATACTTGCACATGAATGCTCATAGCAGCTCTATTCACAATAGTCAAAAGGTAGAAACAACCAGACATCCATTCACTAAAAATACATAAACCAAATATAATAGATGCAAAGAACACATCAAAATGTCATTCTGGCCTGATAAAGAATGCAGCGTTGATACATGGTACAATGTGGGTGAACCTCAAAAAACTTTATGTTAAGCAAATAAAGCCAAATTCCAAAGTCATATGTCATACAATTTCACATATATCAAATATTCAGAATA